ATTTATTGACAATTTATCCTTTTCTGGACCCATTGTTTAAAAGGAATAACAACGATTAATTAGCATATATCAATGACCTGCAGAACTCTGTACATAAGTCATAGGATTTATCCAATCATTCTCTCAGCGGCAAGACCCTTTCGGCTTCTATCTGTGAAATCGCGGTTGTAATTGGTATCTTGAATGTTTTAACAGTCACGTGATTTTATCGAGTCCAGTATTTGTAGCGCACCTATGGGAAATCCGTAGTTTATATTAATAACAAGTTGGAGCTGTATCATATAATACTTTTATTTTTAGAAAGAAATCGAATGGTGTTAAAAACTTGAAAAACGTACGAAAAATGTAAACAACAACAGTTTAACATTGAAATTTTTTTGGCATATTTTTAGTTTTTACTGTTTTATATTATCACCTACTAATATTAGTAAATTGTCAAAAATATCAGTATGCTGCTTGTAGTCACAACGGTCACCCATTGGTTCGTAAAGGTTTAACAATTATCACTAGTAGCAGTGAAAACGGTCGTTGCGTATGATAACGGTCGCCCGCTGACTAACAATTTCTATAAGACCTGCGTCATGAAATTGACCAGTCAGATTTTACTTTTGAAATTAGTCTATTGTTTGCCATTTGCTAAGACAGATAGTTCTAACATGCATTTTCATATTTTTCATATTTACATTTTTTTCCATCAATTGCCACATTAACTTTTGATTGTTTATATAATTAGACCCTAGAAGAAAATGGAAGCTTCTTTGTTGAACGATGTAATATTTATTTCATTTTTTGTATTCATTTAATATTTGTTGAAAATTTATTAAAGAAATTAGAATTGAATTCTCGTCATTCGCTGGACATAAATGTTACCAAGGGATAAAAGAAATGTTTATCGACTGCATCAATCATGTCAATGGTTTGGCAGAAATGGGAAATTTCAAGTAGGGGATTTACCTTTTTATATTGGCGACTTGAACGAATTAAACTATTTCGAAATGAATTGCTTATACGTCATGCTAATTCTAGATGTTGGAATATTTTCTAGGTTCTTTTTCAAAATATCCGTAAACTCCCGTTATTTTTAAGGTCTTCTATAACAATGAGACATTAAGATTCATATTTATCATGCCTCTAATATTCACAGTTTAAAAAAACTAGGGGTGTAGCTCTAAATATCAACTTCGGCATTTATTGATATATAGTTGCAAATTATTTCTTGTTTTCGAAAAGCATAGTAAATTCATTGATAAATTTTGTTGTTTGTAGTTTTTTTTTCTTTATTTACATTATGTTTCCCTACTAAAATGCAAAAATGGATAAAAATCCTCAGAGAAAAACTCAATATAAAGTTGACTGACAATTTTGGCCATTTACATGTAGATTTTGTCCTGCATATAATGTTTGCCTTTGAAAAATTCTTTCTCGTCATTTATAATATAGTTTTCAAAGTAATGGGCAAATAATTGATAAAAATGTTTTCAAGGACAATAACTTCTATAAGGAGTCAATTGACGAATTCATTTTTCTACTTAAGTGTATATCTGGCTGCATATTTTTGCTATTCCTGAAAAAAGAGAAAATTTGTTATTTAAGGGCAATAACTCATTAATGAAGTCGTCTAACAGTTTTTATAATGTTGGACAGTAGGTAGATCTCAGCATTCTTAAATGTACGCCTTTGTCTGATTTTTCTCTGTCTAAAGTGGTTTTCAAAATTGTAGACACAATTTTTATTTCTAAGTTCTATATTTAGCAATGTTGGTCATGTTGGTTGGTAGGCGAGGGTCATCGGACACAACTAGATAGCCCAAAGATCGTATATAATGGCCAAGTTTGGTTCCATATTGGCCATGTAGTTTAACGCTTTTTGGAAAAGTTAGCTGACGACTGACACCAAGTTCTGTTCTGAGATTAGCTCAATTTAACTTTCGAGTGAGGTCAGCTAAACAGAGAGCAACGCAACTGCTGGAAAAAAGGGACGAAAACTTAAAGAAAACATAAATTAGACAAAACACTTCACAGAAAACAAAAAGTTTAAGTGACTTGAACCTCGCAGTTAATGGGAGAATATTTAATTGCTTCAGAAAAATAACCAGGTCCTTATCCACAAGTGTCATCTGACGTTTTACTACTTTCATGGTAACTTTCTGCAAAATAAAATTGTATGCGTTGATGGCCTTAACCAGGAAAAGAGGGCGAGATTGTGCACGTGACTACTAGAAGTAAAACATATCATTTTGTAAATGGTATTTCATAACGGTCAACCATTCATGATAGCGTCTTTAAGATTGACACTAACTTTTTCATAGTCTACTCTCTTGACTAAACATTTTCTTGTATGCCGCAATCATTTAGTTAGGAAATCGTGATGACACAAGCCCTTGCATATTGTATCAACAGGAAAATACATAAACCTGGAAAAAGTGTCGTACCACCCTGGTTTTTTAAAAAAAAAAAAATATTATAAATATAACATGTTTACCGTTAAGTCTATTTTGAGTGTTATTCTTTTGACGTGGCTTTGTATTTATATATCCCGCTTTTGCGTTTTTGTGCAATGGTCAGGTTTGATATTCTTTAATTTCCGTCATTTTTGCTTATGTGCTTTGTCTATAGAATGTCTATATGCAATTTTGTTTTTCTTTGTTGACATAAATGATTGTTTTCATAGTGATTAAGATTATAACAAATACTTTCTCATCTAAAATTAGAAATTCTCATATGCCACTTAACTCATTTTTGTGTGAAAAGCTACATCTTTTGGCTTGATTGTCATAATTCGCGTTAAAAAGTCTCTGTATTGCATTATTTATATTTGCTTGTCATTTTTTTGCAAGATTTTGGGTCTTTTTTCGTTAATGCAAATTCAAAACCACATCATTTTAGCATTACCCTTTTTCATATGATGCTAGAATAAACTATTTCAACAATCAGAAAAAAGTTGAGACAATAAAACCTTCATACATTACTTATTCTGCATTTTTGTTATACTTTTATGTCATCTTTGAAATATATATGTTCCAGACCATATGAGTATTTGGACCGTACGCGTACGATCTGGACCGTTTGCGTACTTTTTCAAAATACGCATACGGTCGGACTGTTACGCGTACGGTCTGCCTAATTTTAAGAAGTCGGACAAGTTTATAAGATACAATGTATATTACGGATCAACATAACAGAAATCTCGAATTATTATAAATAGTCCAATTGTAATTGAAATAAAAACTTAATATTTTAACTATGTGAAAAAGTCACGTTAATTTAATTTGTTAATCTCCTGTATTTAACATGTCAGTAATACATGAAATTGAAAGGTTGCTTTGTTACTGTAAGAATACCAGTTGTTTATAGGATTTTCCCCGATTATTATGTAGGGTTGATGATATTATTGGTCAAGATGCAACTTTGATCAAACTATCATGTGAATTTGGCATATTAAACTCTTGTTACGATATGGGTGATATAGAACTTTTGACACGCAAAATTGAAACTGCACATTCAAAAACAGAAGGAATTTCATTGCCTCAAGTTTTTCTCTTGCTAGCAAGAGATGGAAATGCAAAGGAACATGCCTTAACAAAACATGTTGATTTATTCACTTTATTCATCTAATTGTAATTATATTCATTTGTAAAACTCAATAAAAGATTTTTGATAAATATCTGTCTAAAATTAGCCCATACGGTCTAAATACATGTATGGTACAGCTCGTTCTAGACCATATGAGTATACTCATACGGTCCGACCGTACGCGTTTGGTCGGACCGTACGCGTACGGTTCAAATACTCATATGGTCTGGAACATATATATAACATATCAATTACCCATCTTTATTATAGATGTTTAAGTGAATGTTATGCTAAATTAAGTATTTTTTCACTTACTTGTATTTGTCAGGTCTTTATTCCTGCATACGGACCTGGTGTATGTTGAAATCTCATCTACCTAATAAATTTACATATCTTACGTCTGTATGCTTGCATACTAATCTGGTGTATGCCGAACTTTAATTTGAGATAATAAATGGCATTTCTTAGTCTGTATGCATGCATACCGACCTGGCGTATGCTAAACTTTCACTCTATGCGTATACTAGAATTTGTCAAATCTGTATGCCTGCATACAAATCTGGTATATGTAGAACCTTCAAAATAATTTATTTTGGCAATACTTCAGGTCTGTATGCCTGCATACAAACCTGTTGTATGTAGACCTAAGTTGTTTATTTTTTTTTTGCACTTTTCATTCAGGTCTGTCTGCATGCAGACCTATTGGAATATAAACTCTTATTCTAGATACATGTTTATAAGTTGGTTGACCGTTATGGAATAACCGTTTCACAGATGATATCGGATATGTTCCTTATGTCGTAACTACACTACCCTCCCTTTTCATGAATGTGACTTACCGAATTAGACTATTTACCGGATTTGTAATAACATAAGCAACACGACGAGTGCCACATGTGGAGCAGGATCTGCTTACCCTTCCGAAGCACCTGAGATCACCCCCAGTTTTTGGTGGGGTTCGTGTTGCTTAGTCTTTGGTTTTCTATGTTGTGTCATCTGTACTATTATTTGTCTGTTTGTCTTTTTATTTTTGGCCATGGCGTTGTCAGTTTGTTTTCACTTATGGAGATATGTATATATGTATTTATCAGGTACGCTTTTGCCATTTAATATTCGCTGAACTCGAAATTGTCAAATATCTCATTAGTCCATTATGAAGATAGGAATCAAATTAGAATAGAATAGAATAGAATATTTTTATTTCCCAAATTACAGGGCCCATAAAGGGCATAAAATCAGATACAATTGATTTACATAATTGGTAACAACAACAATAATAATCACTTGAATATATATATATATTTAGTATATTAGCATTGGTCAGAATCAGAGCCAAAAACCACATATATATTGTGAATAAAAGAATAAAATTACATTATGAGCATTCATTCTCAAATCATTTACTTGACTTAGTGTCAATATGCATACCTGATCTCCTTAATTCAAAACAGTCACAAATATAACAGCCCAGTTTTTCCATAAGAGTTACATTTTCTTGAGTCAAGAGCCATAAAAATTTAGAAGATTTATTTAAATTTTAAAAATTATAACAATTGTCAGATATGTATTGAAAAAAGTCTGGCTCAAGAAATAAACGAAGAACCCTCCCAACACACACAAACACACATGCATACGAGCACAATGTGCTAACATAATTATATATTATCAACTTGTTCGAAATTTTATGAATTCCTATATTATTGTCAATCACATTTCTTTTTTTGTCGGGTGTTTGGGATGGGGATGTAGAGAATCGGTGAGAAATTATGAAATGAGGAATGAGACCATTTTGTAACATTAAAAACTCTTTTTTAGTAAACATAATACTAAAGACCACTTTAAATGTTTGAAAACTTTAAAAGTAGTTAATTATTGAGTTTTGAATAAATGACCCCAATCGTAAGTTTTAATTACATGTATATCACTATAACAAAAATTATAGGAGATCACAAATCTCGTCAAAGGTATGATAATTTAAGTTCGTTTTGGTTTCATTGATTTCTAAAACGGACAAACTTAAAGAATTTTCATCGTGATTTGACGAAAACTGCACCATACACGAATATTTGACACCGGGCAAAAAAGATAGTACAGATGATGTGCTTTCGAATGGTATATGATTTAGCCGTATGTTAGGTAGGTGCATTAAAAAAATAAAATGTTATGGTTAATGTCACTATATGAATATAATGATAAAATGTTTGTAAATAAAATTGGCACTTATAAATGTTTTGTTTTGCATGCCTTACTCGTCAGAGTTTTCTTTGTGCATTTAATTTTTTTTTTATTGATTGATCCAGTTCCCCAAGGCAAATTCGAGACCATTATAGGATGCGCCAAATTCATCTAAGATAAGCGGCCAAAAACAGTATTGTTGCATAATAACGACTGCACGATCACTTCGAATCTGTTTGACATGATTGAAAGTTTTTAAATAATTTTCGTTTTCATATTCTTTCCAATTTGTCCCAAATTTTTCAAATTTAACTGACCCTCCACTAAAACGGTATCCAACCCATCGAGTGTTTTGATCGTCCCAATGTCCGTTTGCAAATTTTACATTATCATAATAAGCAGACGTTTGGCTCAAAATCAAGGGTTTCAAACATTGAAAATTTTGTTGAATAACCACCACAACTCCTTCATTCTGAACAGTTTGAATGTGATTGAATGTTTTAAGGTAGTCCCCATTTGTATATTCGTGCCATGAATTAGGTGAAATTCTTCTGAACTCTGATAGTTCAATGCCATTACTACGTTTACCTTTCCAATGGCAAGAATGTCTCCATTCTCCATAGAATTGCTGAATTCCATTGTAATAGGCACAGTCATCAGTCAAAACGAACGCCCAGATAAAACGCTGATGTAAAATAACTGCAAATTCAGAAACGTTAATTGTTTGTATATGTCGAAATGTTTTCTCATAATATCCATTTCTGTATTCCTTCCAATCGTCATTCGATTGTAAGTAATATCCGGATCCGCCTCCATATTGTGGAAACCAATTACCCTCCCAACGCCCAGTTGAAGTCCATCTTCCAGAAGCAAACTTGTTCTTGCCATAGTATGCTGCATTTGAATTTAAAATCAAAGGAAGTAACCCATCTTGTTGTATGACAACGGCTTTTTCACTAGAATATACTGTATGTATATGGTCAAAAGTTTTCATGTTACGATTGTAGCTAAATTCTGACCATCTTCCATCCGCTTGTTCGTACCAGCTTTTATCACCAGGGCCAAATGAATTCCACTGGCATTTACATTGTACCTCCAACAAAAACATCAAAGTAAAACAAACGAGTATTTTTTTCATTGTGTTCTTTGTATCCTTGTGCTAATTTTGTCCGAACTTCACTGATTACAGCATTCCTGCATAAGTAAAGAAATTTTGTGTTTGCCTTCAGTTTTGATCAATGAATTATATTTGCTTATGTCCTTGACATTGCATAATTTTGAAGATCTGTCATTTATTACTGAATGTAATTTAACCAGAAGTGTATTCATTACTTTTGAGCAAACGCCCTCTTTAATTGGTTAATCGTTAAGAAGTATACATTTCTACGGACTTTTCTACTTGAAAGCACTTCTATATCACATGATTCGGATTTTCCAATTTTGCAATTATGAAACAGGTTAAGTAGCTCTGATTTCTTAAACTCAAAACAGTTTGTCTAAATGAAACCGTACTTAATTTATCTTATAACATGAAGCAGTGTGGACACATATAAATGTGGATAGTAATTGTTGGAATTATATTAGTATGTTTGAGTCATGGTACATGGGGACTCTCATACTGTATTTCATATGATTTAGATAGTAATATATGGAAATATAATCTCCTGTATAAATCTCCTGGTATAAATGTTAAACTTTGTTTCATGTTGAATGCCTTCTTTAATTTCAGATCACAGAAAAAATGAAAACTAGTATAGTATCAATTGCTCACGATTTGACAATGTTTGAGACGGTTTTAAATTAAAATTGTTGTATGTATTTCAAATATGGTCCAATGTTAAACTATGCTTTACAGTGGCGACAATATATGTATCTTTTATAGATTTTTTTCAACCACTGGGTTGATGCAACTGCTGATGGACGTAAGCAGCCAAATGTTCAACACTTTTGTACTGACATGAACTATCATTGAAACGTGCCGTTTCTGTAGATTGATTGTTTATAAAATGTAGAAACATTCTAAACACTAAGATTTTTTCACAAGCTTATATACACTTAGCCGTTTTTTAACAATTATTCAAAACTTTTGGTTTTCAATTTCGTATTTGACTTGGTCTGCTAACTTTTTGATTCGAGCACCACTGATAATTCTGATGTAGACGACACACGCGTCTGGAGTGTCAATTGATAAACGTGGTAATTTTGATAAGTATTTAGATTTCAGATAGGCATCGAAATTTGTATGTGAACACCTTACGTGTCTTTTTACATGATTTGATACAACGATGTTTGAAACGTTTTCTGTTTGTACGCATTTTCTGTATGGTTGTATTATGCTTTACCGTAGTGGTCATTTCTTAAATTGTTTGGCAACAAAAACGGATCAGTCGGATTTCTGTTTGCAAGATTTGGTTTCAATGTGTGAGAGAGTTTCTGAGAAGAAACTAAGTGTTACTGTATTAACTGTTCATGCGGTTCTATTTTAAACTATGATCAATGATGGTGGTTATGTGAATTTGAATTGGCATCAACACCTTTAAATAATTAAAGCACTTTTTGTGAATCGTTCTAACGATATGCCAGGACATTCGTCAGAATATCTTTGCAATTTCAGCCAATCGGAATACATTTTGGCCATGGTATTCATTTTGATATCAAGATACACACAAACAATCCAAATGCATTCAGGTATTTACAGACAAAGATTCCTGCAGAGCTTGGTTCTAGTTGACAAAAGTTGTTTGGCAGATGATTTTTATAATATGGGATTTTCCAGACGCTGTTGGAAAAGTAATGTAGCGTAATGTAGACAAATGAGGATAATACCTCGCTTTTGATACGACCATCAAATTTAAAAGGCAAAATTCTGTATTTAAAATATATATACATGTAATACGTTAGGTTCAAGCTACAAATGGCTGATAACTGATTCATGTCGTGATATTTTGGAACTTCATTTAAGCTTGATGAACGGAACAGAGATTTTAAATATATTTATATGAAATAATTCTAATAAAAAGGAAAAGATAAATTGGAAAATCATTTTCCAAAAAATAGTAGAGGAACGTAGTATATACTTTGAAACGACACAGTATACATCTATTATTTTTCTCTTGTGCAATTTGCTTCGGCATTTCACACAATTTTAAGGTAAGTTGTCATTTATGCTATGGTCGTTTTTGTCATTATGGTAGGAATTTAGTTTAAACGGAGAGATCTGGGTCGGAGATTTAGGTTGTTTACTTCCTTTCCGTTATATAATTCTTGCTCTGATTGATTCAATTTTATATCTGTGCCATGGTGTTGTCAGTTTGAGTTTTAATATCCATTTAGTATATCTCGTCTCTCTCTCTCTGTAACTTAACACAACAACTGTCTAGACAAGTAGTCATGATTTTATTAACTTTCTGTCAAAGAATTAAAGCGAACAACAAAATTTTATAAATAGCAAGAACTGTTTTTTTAATATATCTTGATCATTTTTAATTGACAATATATTTGTATTTTTTTCATATTAAATATCTGTTGTATGAGGAGATCAGCCGAATTGGTGAAATAATATTTTTCTTATTTATTGACAATTTATCCCTTTCTCGACCCATTGTTTAAAAGGAATAACAACGATTAATTAGCATATATCAATGACCTGCAGAACTCTGTACATAAGTCATAGGATTTATCGAATCATTGTCTCAGCGGCAAGACCCTTTCGGCTTCTATCTGTGAAATCGCGGTTGTAATTTTTATCTTGAATGTTTTAACAGTCACGTGATTTTATCGAGTCCGGTATTTGTAGCGCAAATCCGTAGTTTATTAATAACAAGTTGGAGCTGTATCATATAAAACTTCTATTTTTAGAAAGAAATCGAATGGTGTTAAAAACTTGAAAAACGTACGAAAAATGTAAACAACAACAGTTTAACATTGAAATTTTTTTGGCATATTTTTAGTTTTTACTGTTTTATATTATCACCTACTAATATTAGTAAATTGTCAAAAATATCAGTATGCTGCTTGTAGTCACAACGGTCACCCATTGGTTCGTAAAGGTTTAACAATTATCACTAGTAGCAGTGAAAACGGTCGTTGCGTATGATAACGGTCGCACGCTGACTAACAATTTCTATAAGACCTGCATCATGAAATTGACCAGTCAGATTTTACTTTTGAAACTAGTCTATTGTTTGCCATTTTCTAAGACAGATAGTTCTAACATGCATTTTCATATTTTTTTTTTTATTTACATTTTGTTTCCATCAATTGCCACATTAACTTTTGATTGTTTATATAATTAGACCCTAGAAGAAAATGGAAGCTTCTTTGTTGAACGATGTAATATTTATTTCATTTTTTGTATTCATTTAATATTTGTTGAAAATTTATTAAAGAAATTAGAATTGAATTCTCGTCATTCGCTGGACATAAATGTTACCAAGGGATAAAAGAAATGTTTATCGACTGCATCAATCATGTCAATGGTTTGGCAGAAATGGGAAATTTCAAGTAGGGGATTTACCTTTTTATATTGGCGACTTGAGCGAATTAAACTATTTCGAAATGAATTGCTTATACGTCATGCTTATTCTAGATGTTGGAATATTTTCTAGGTTCTTTTTCAAAATATCCATAAACTCCCGTTATTTTTAAGGTCTTCTATAACAATGAGACATTAAGATTCATATTTATCATGCCTCAAATATTCACAGTTTAAAAAAACTAGGGGTGTAGCTCTAAATATCAACTTCGGCATTTATTGATATATAGTTGCAAATTATTTCTAGTTTTCGAAAAGCATAGTAAATTCATTTATAATTTTTGTTGTTTGTAGTTTTTTTTTTCTTTATTTACATTATGTTTCCCTACTGAAATGCAAAAATGGATAAAAATCCTCAGAGAAAAACTCAATATAAAGTTGACTGACAATATTGGCCATTTACATGTAGATTTTGTCCTGCATGTAATGTTTGCCTTTGAAAAATTCTTTCTCGTCTTTTATAATATAGTTTTCAAAGTAATGGGCAAATAATTGATAAAAATGTCATCAAGGACAATAACTTCTATAAGGAGTCAGTTGACGAATTCATTTTTCTACTTAAGTGTATATCTGGCTGCATATTTTTGCTATTCCTGAAAAAAAGAGAAAATTTGTTATTTAAGGGCAATAACTCATTAATGAAATCGTCTAACAGTTTTTATAATGTTGGACAGTAGGTAGATCTCAGCATTCTTAATTATACGCCTTTGTCTGATTTTTCTCTGTCTGAAGTGGTTTTCAAAATTGTAGACAAAACTTTTACTTCTAAGTTCTATATTTAGCAATGTTGGCCATGTTGGTTGGTAGGCGAGGGTCATCGGACACAACTAGATAGCCCAACACAACTAGATAGCCCAAAGATCGTATATAATGGCCAAGTTTGGTTCCATATTGGCCATGTAGTTTAACGCTTTTTGGAAAAGTTAGCTGACGACTGACACCAAGTTCTGTTCTGAGATTAGCTCAATTTAACTTTCGGGTGAGGTCAGCTAAACAGAGACCAACGCAACTGCTGGAAAAAAGGGACGAAAATTTAAAGAAAACATAAATTAGACAAAACACTTCACAGAAAACAAAAAGTTTAAGTGACTTGAACCTCGCAATTAATGGGAGAATATTTAATTGCTTCAGAAGAATAACCAGTTCCTTATCCACAAGTGTCATCTGACGTTTTACTACTTTCATGGTAACTTTCTGCAAAATAAAATTGTATGCGTTGATGGCCTTAACCAGGAAAAGAGGGCGAGATTGTGCACGTGACTACTAGAAGTAAAACATATCATTTTGTAAATGGTATTTCATAACGGTCAACCATTCATGATAGCGTCTTTAAGATTGACACTAACTTTTTCATAGTCTACTCTCTTGACAAAACATTTTCTTGTATGCCGCAATCATTAAGTTAGGAAATCGTGATGACACAAGCCCTTGCATATTGTATCAACAGGGAAATACATAAACCTGGAAAAAGTGTCGTACCACCCTGATTTTTCTAAAAAAAAATATTATTATTAATATAACATTGTATAACATGTAATATCTTTTATGGCAGCGGCAGCTTGAATTATATAAACTATGCAAAAAAAATGTTGTTGTTTTTTTTTAAGTTGAAGAAAGTTACATCTATAATGAAGTACAAATTCTGTCAAACAAGAACAAAAATCGTAGAAAGTAGAACTGCGGTTCACATCAATCACAGATGCCACAGTCTCATTCTATGAATCAAACGTCGAACTTGTTATTTTATAAGTCTATACAATTCATAGTGAGACGCTTAAAATAAATCATCTATTGAACATATCTATGGCCTAATTGGTCGTCGTTTACGTGAAAGAGTACAATAAGTAATGTTAAAAATCACAGTAATTTGTATAAAGCTTTGCCCCATAAATAGCAAAGACGTCTACCACAACAACAGATTTAGTGTTTAATCCATCGATTTACAAAACAGTTACCATCAGTAATATGTTGAACGGTGCCCACGGTTTCACTATGTATTGGAGATTGTTGTGTCATTTTTAACCTCTTACATATATGATAATTGTCCTAACAAAAGAATTGTGCTATTGGACTTTTCTACTTGTAAGCATTCAAAGTTGAACATCATTCATTTTAAATAACTAGGACATCCTCTTATTTTAACAAAAAATGTTGTTAGTTAAATGCGTTGTTTTTTAACCTTTTTTTTTTTGTATGCCTGTGGTCTGGTCATTTCAAAATAATCAGATTTGTACCATTTAACGTCATAGATAATATTATGTGTAATGATATTTTGGTCTGGTGTATAATTGCCTGTACAGCTAAAGAAAAATAAGAAGCTATGTAATGATTGTGAATGTGACAACTATCCACCAGAGCCCAAATGACGTTAATGTTACCAACTGTAGCTATAAAACCAGGTTTAATCAACCATTTTCTACATACGGAAATGTCTGAACCAAGTAAGCAATATGACAGTTGTTTTCCATTCGTTTGATGTGTTTGAGCTTTTGATTTTGCCATTTGATAAAGGACTTTCCGTTTTGAATTTTCCTTGGAGTTTGGCATTTTTACTATTTTACTTTTCACCATACGGCCTTCAATATTGTGCTAAATTCATACCGTATGGTATGCTTGAAAATGCTCTCACATGAGAAATGTAAAACAATTCAAGCAGGAATAATACAATAAATCTGAAATCTCGTACAAAATAATTTGCCATTGTTGCTGAATATTAAAAAATGAAAACAATACATTATAACTTTTATTCGTCTGAAGAATTCCTTAGTCATTTTTGTCGGTATATATTTGTAAATAATTTCTGTAAGAGTTAAAAAAAATGTTTTTATCATTTCAAGATAAAAAAAATACTAAACACTGATGGACGGTATTCGCTTGTATAGTTAGGAATTCATGCAAGTGACGTCATGAAGTGTTTATACATGTAGTAACTTTTGGCTGCTATGAAACTTAGATATTAGATAAGTCTGAACATACAACATTAGCAACATTGAAATAACTCAATTTATGTCGGGTTTGTATCGCTTTAGGTTAATTACACACTAAATATTACAACTAATCCAATTAAAATGTGTGTTTAAAAATTCTTTTGGTTCTATATAGTTGTCTGTGTTTTGTTTACTTTGCTTATTTGTTTGGCTCTTTTCTTTTAGCCATGGTCTTAAATGTATTTATAACGACTATAAAAGTTTATTAAGCTCCTGCAATCTACTTTTTTTTTTCTTTTTTTTTTTACTTTTTCTTTTTTCTTATTTTTTTTTTATCGAAATCCAAGCTTAGTAACACTGCAGAAATAAATCAAACTTAAATTATGATCAGGAAAAACACTGCCACTCAAATTACACCTATCACGCTAAAACCTATTTAAATGATTATACTAGTAGATATAGGGTGACATATGTAGTCAACATTGCAAAATTCATCAGAATACCATGTATGGAGAATGGCTGTTCACTGCTTTTCTTCTCGGTTTTGGACAAATCAATTGCCATAGAATAAACAAAGGTACGGTGCATATAATTTTTGAATAATGAACATATTGACAAGTACAAAATGTAGAATTTACAAATTTGAAATACATGATAACCGTATAATGAGTAACAAGTCTTTGATGATCTTTATATATTTATGCATGAGTTCGTACTGTCCAATATGTCTAATTAAACCAACAACTTTTTAGGTATAATTCATCTCATACGTTTAAAAACGACAGTTAAAATAAGTCTATTCAGAATTATTCAGTCCAGTCTGCTGCTTTTCGGTATTTGTTGCTTTTGGAAGATAAATATCAATCAACGAACATTCTAACAATAGACTGAACGAATCATAATTTACCGGAAGTGTAACCGTACTGATTACATCTTGACGGACTTGTCTGAAAATGGACTAAACGACTGAGCAGGACTTGATTATTCACGATTCAATCTATTGAGAAAGCGTCTATCAAAATGACTGTTTCAGATGAAAATCAATAAACTAACATAAATAATAACTTTCATGTGTTTATTGTAAAGAAATGTGTCAGAGACGTAGCAGACAAAGTTGCCAATCTTATCACCGAAACAAGGAGTGAATGCACTTTGACCCCTCTAAATGGTAATATGAAAATCTTACTTATATGTTATTTGAATGTGCTAAGCTCGTTTATGCTAAAAATGCCGTATTTTCAAATTTTTTAAGAAACTAATTATTGCATATCGCGGTGTACTCATCATTCTGAACAGACTATATCACAGCTGATAGGTGAACATAGATTCATATCAGCAAAATAAAATTCGCACTTTTCTTTATATTTTATCTTATGTTTATCTTCATAGAAACAAGGTATATTCTGAACTAATAATCCCTGGTTTTCTGGAAATCTTAAATAAGTATACTATGGAGCGCATTGATCCTATATTGTTAATTTAAAATCATGGACAAGTAAATTTTGACTCAAAATGGTCTACATATATTTCACTTTCACCAAAAGTGTCATTTCTGCAAATGTGTTTGTTAGTTTAAATAATCAATGACATCGAAAGCACTATTTTTGTCAGGGAAGGGCTACTTTTGCAGATGTTCTAAATTATAGTTGGTGACTTGGTGGTCTAACGCCATATACGCCACACCGTACATGTATTCATGTAATTAAACATCATTGGTTTCAATTGTTTCCAATGCATGTGTTTGACCGTTCATCATAAAGGTAAATCAAAAAAGCCCCTCAGACCATCAAAATTTATAAAGTCTTATTTTCATTAAATTAAATAAAGAGCATGTATTGTAAATTGCACCATTTCCTGTATTTTACAATATAGATTTAGACTTCCAACCTTCTGATTGTGGAGATTTGAGGAAAGGAAAACACAAAAGTGGAGTCTATAAAATCTACCCTTCTAGAACTTCCGGTTTTCAAGTTTTTTGTGATATGAAGAGCTACGAAGGTGGTTGGACGGTAAGTATAATAAATAAACATGTAAACTAAGGATTTAGATCAGAATGTTTAATATATGGGTAACACAGTCTTAAGGATTATGTTGCAAAAATGTCGCAAATATTGAATATCACTGTTTAATTGAGGGCATAAGACAGGTACACGTTGTGTTAAAATGACAAATATAACTTTAATACGGTTATGAAAATAGACATTATCATTTTTTAAACCCAGAATGTTACAAATTTATACACATAAACATATAACTTAACCAATACTAAATAGGATACACCTACATGGCATATTTTCCAGGTATACTAGATTCAAATAATATGGAAGGCCATACACAGAAACCGTTGTTAAAACATATCGATTTGTTATTACATATTGTTATCTGGCTAACGTCGTGTTGCAAATATATCATGCATATTCAGGACGAGAACAACTTATTACAAAATACAATAGATTTGTGAGTGGACCACGATGGTGGTCCTAAATCAATCATTTGAATATATTTTATCATGTACATAAAAACAAAGTCAAGGTGGAGGAACCGACCTCCAACAGTAAAACTGGCAATTCTTGTTATTTAAGGTCGGTGTCGAACTAACTTTGCAGAAGCGGGGTTTGTACTTACAGCCTTGGTGTTGACATGTTCAATTTAGACCAGTTGGAAACAGATGCTCATAAGCTAGTTTAAAAGTGTACTGGAACTTTAAATGGAAACTTATATGCGTGATGTATACGAAATGTTAGTGCATAAAATTCAGAATGAAAACGGGAAATGTGTCAAAGAGACAACAACCCGACCAAAGAGCATAAAACAGCCCATGGCCACCAATGGGTATTCAACACAGTGAGAAAATCCCGCACCTGGAGGCGGGCTTCAGCTGGCCCTTTAACAAAATTGTGTACTAGTTCAGAAAAAATGGACGTCACACTAAACTCAAAACATATAAATGAAACGAAATTAAAAAATAACATACCAGACTTACAAAGGCCATAGGTTCCTGGCAGTTTGCTTCATATCTGTATCTTTCCTAAAGAAGTATTGTGTTTGAAAGACTGCCATAAAAATAGGTACCAATGAAAACGAATATGATGCTGTTGTCTTCAAGATGTTTGCAATTATAGGTCGTGAGGGTCTTGCACGATTGTACCCTCTCTCTCTCTCTCTCTCTCTCTCTCTCTCTCTCTCTCTCTCTATATATATATATATATATATAAATAATTACTCTAAATATCAGCACAACAATGTTAAATCTGCAAATTTTTGTTCTTCCCTCGCCGGGATTCGAACTCATATATATATATGTATAGTTATCCACAATAAATTAACAAATGAAGGTTAAAATTCCACAGGTCATTCAGAAAAGGACAAATGGTTATGTTGGTTTCTACAGAGACTGGGATGCTTATAAGGATGGATTTGGAGATCTTCAAACAGATTTCTGGTTAGGTGAGGTTATATCTTCTAGTAGGATTAGGCACCGAAAGACATATTTGTCAATTCTTCATGCATTCATTTCAAACATACTACAGCAGTTACAGTTGAATCCCTCACCTTCTTTTTATAATTATACTAGAAAGTAAAAAATACAATACCATATATGGAAATATTCTCAGGATTCAAACAGCCATCGTTATAGTGTTTATAGATCAGCAAATTCCGTTAAGATGTATTTTGTTATATGCTAATCATTGTTAGTTCAGACGATGATGTTGGTTAATGACGTTTTTAAATAAATAGTTAGAATAACAAGAGTCTAAATGTTTAGAAATGGTAATGAAACAAATATTCTATCGTACCGAAAAGTCATCATATTGCGCGAGATTAAGAGTGTAATATGATAAAGTGAAAACTGACAATATTCCTTATTATTCGAGCAATTACTCTCGCATTATATAGCACCAAATATTATTTTATAGTATCCTATTATAATTTGATTTTAAACCATTACGATAGATCAATTCCTCAGACCTGCCAGACTGCATTGCAAAATAGCAATTTCATATCTCGTTCCGCTTTTGTTTTCTTTCGTGTATTTATTATCAGTGCAACATTCCAACCTATTCTTAACATTAGGCCTCTAGTTTTCTCGTTTGAATTGTTTTACATTTGTCATATCGGGACCTTTTATAGCTTGTTATGCGGTATGTCTATTACGGATTGGTGAAAGCCATATAGTGAACTATATTTGGTAAATTATACATCATTTGATCTTTGGTCGAGAATGGCAATCATACCACATCTTCTTATTTATATAATCATTTTTACTTATCATTTGACCAACTCGGAAATGCTTAATTTTTTTTTTATATATATAATCCAAAAATGTGGTTACCCAGAATGAGAATGTGCAAGCATATTTTTTCCAAATTGCTATGGAAACTTTGTAATGAACAATTCTATTATATTTGTCTCTTTCTCGTCATCAGGAACAAATAGTGGGATCGTGTAGATTATATATCATCACCTTGTATGTCTGTCCGTCTGTATGTCCGTCTATCTCTTCGTCCTTCCGGTCCTTCGTCTAACAAATATTTTCGTCACACTTTTCTCACGAACCACTGAACAGAACTTCTTCATATACTTATTCAGCAGCTTGACAGTGATAAATCATAACGTGTGAGTTCTTTTAGGATCTGTCAGACACCTTCTTCCTGTTTTTCAGATACTTTGAATTACGAGGGGGGTATATTTAACCCAAGGACGTTTGTATTCTCTTTTTTTCAGTAGATATATTCTAGATTATTTCTTCAATTTTTACTTATATTATAAGGAATTTCTATTCTATAAAACTAATATCAAAATATCGCTTAGTATTGTACCTACGTTTTGTAAAACCAAAACTTTGTTTCTGGAGATATAAAAAAACTTTAATATAAATGTGGTTTATACTCTAGGGAATGAATACTTGAACAAACTGACCGAACAAGGATATTACATACTGCGGATAGACATGTGGGACTTCGAAAGTAATCACAAATATGCCATCTACGACACATTTGTCGTTAACAACGAGGAGTCAGGATACACACTGGAGGTAGCTGGTTATGCTGGAAATGCAGGTAATAAAATTAGAATAATTAAAATGGAATAGAATACAACAGAAATATCAGAGCATAACATTATACTGCAAACTTGAATCTAATGCTATGCAATACAATCGTTACAGAAATCAAACTAACAAAAAAGGTAAAGAACACTTTAAAAACCTGCTGCGTCCGAAGCGCTTTTCTGTATTTACCTTTATCAAGAACGCTCAAATACTTGAAAGCCAAGCATTTTAACGAACCAAAACACGTGCAGAACCGTTTGACTAAATGTGACCTACAAACAACATCCAAATCCGTCAAAGTTGACCGATAAATGTTCTATTGAATTGGGTGGCATAAGTCGGATTAGGTAAACCAGGGAAACACTGGAATTTACACAAGGACATTTCTAAATCACCCCTGGTTTTTGGTGGGGATTGTGTTTCTCAGTCTTTTTCTATGATGTGTTTTGTATACTGTTGTTTGTCTTTTTGGTCTTTTACTCCTTTTTTTTGCCATTACGTTGTCAGTTTATTTTCGACTTTTTTTGTTTTATTCGATGAGTTTGAATGTTCTTTGTGTATCTTTCGCCTCTCTTTTTATTTACTTGGCTATCTTAACCCGGCCCATTTATACGTGTATGTCAATAGAAGACAATTTGGCACAACGACAAAATCTGACCATAAAAAATTGAGGGGTCAGTATATATGGCGTTCATTTTCACTGAACTAGTATATATATTTGTTTAGGGGCCAGCTGAAGGACGCCTCCGGGTGCGGGAATTTCTCGCTGCATTGAAGACCTGTTGGTGACCTTCGGCTGTTGTCTGCTCTATGGTCGGGTTGTTGTCTCTTTGACACATTCCCCATTTCCATTCTCAATTTTATATTGTGAGTATTGATGACGTCAAATAACAAAACAATGTTCAAATATTCACGAAATTACGACGTTCTTTCTTTATTTTGACCACCGCACCATGCAGGCAACAACTCAAAATTCGAAAAACCTTATGTCAAGCACCTACATAAAAAACACATTTATTGTGCAAGCTTATAATTCTAAAACCCAAGTAGAACCTGTTGTTGTTTGATCCTTTTATTGGAATCACGGACACATGATCTGCATTTCAATCAGAGATGATACTTTCCAGTCACATATAATATCTTTGTAATCAAATTTCTTAAAGAGTTTTTCTTTTGAGCTTCTTACTTTCTGCATTTTAGAATAAACTGTCATCATAACAACATCTTTACATAATCATTGAAATAAAGACCTACAACATTATAAAGTTCTATTTTTGTCAAAAATGCTTATTTTCCGTTTATTTAACCTACTGACTTCATACAACAATCGTTTGGCGCATTGTGTCAGGTTTTTGTCTTGTGTTACGTCAAAACTTTAACAGGAACGTCTGTGTTACACTATACTAGTGAACAAATGGAGATATGTTGTTTTGCGATCGTTTTCATTCGGCCATACAACATACGAGGGTCTGGATGGAGTATATAGAATAGAGAATAATGGTCAAAAGGTGCAGAATAAAGGGCGAAAAATAAAGGAATGGAGAAAAATAGGCTACTAAAATAAAGAATAGAGTATATTGGTGTGCTAAAATGTAAAGAATATGGAATAATGGGCAAATTAATTAAAGAATATAGAAAAATGGTTTAGAAAATTAAAGAATACAGAAATGAAGACACCACTCCCGACACACCACCCCAAACCAGACCCTCGCATACGATATTTAAAGTAACAGTTTTGTTGATCTTAGTGATCAAACAATAATAGCTACAGCTCTACTCACAGGTGACGGTAGGTTTCTTGGTATTTATATTTTATTACATTAGATAAGAAATAGTCAATCCTTCTCTATTTCTGACACCTACGGGTATATTTAATTAAAACATTGTAATGTTTTAATATACAGGCGATGCATAAGCTCATCATAATGGACATAGATTTTCTACGAGGGACAAAGAATCAACTTCTAATAAATGTGCTGCGAATTATAAAGGAGGATGGTGGTATAATGGTTGTCATCATGCCAATCTTAATGGAAGATACCTAAAGGGAACACATAAAACTTATGCTGACGGTATTAATTGGCGTCAGTGGAAAGGATACTACTACTCACTAAAGGCAACACGTATGATGATACGGAGAGCCTAAACGAAGTTTATTTTTATGAACAAACAATATTCAATAAAAATATAAACCATTTAACTATTTTTCTCTTTACCATGACAAATCATCATCTACGGAAAAATAAAAGTAACATGAAGGCATTTTTCTTCCCATTTTCTAATCTCAAACTTCTTTTTCCAAGTGCATACGTTTTTATGGATTGATATTTGCATAGCAAACTGGACACATTAGCAATTTTGAATCACTATAATAATTCTATGCAGGAAATGCTAACCCTTTTGAACCCCTTTTTTATTTAACTCTATTATGTCCAGGGCTTTGCTCGTATCTCTTTTCGGTGTGGATAAGTCTTTTTTTTTTATCATGAATGATGGCGTATACATTTGAGTTTTTACTGTAAAGGTGTATTTATTCATGAGATAATTTCCTGATGTGTTCTTTTTTATTTTGTTTCTTTCTGTCAGTTTGTAAATCGAAATTACCTTTATTTTTGTTTTTTAATATGACTTGATGGCTTACCATAATTAACAAAATAACTTTATAGAATATTCAAGCATCTTACAATTATCTTGCTGTATTAATTTGTATTGTTTTTATTTGTTGCAGTGACTGTGTTTGTAATTTCATGAAGTTTTGAGTTGATATGATATTTATAATGAACAATGTTATAATACGATGGAACATGGATTCCTGAAGTACCCCGTATCACATTTCGTAGTTGTGATTCCAAAAGGTCGTATAAAAAAATATGGGTAGAATTTTTGCTCCCAAGTTTTAGAATCTATAGCATCAGTTACAAGTTTGTACTATTAAACATTATAGAAATGAGTTACGTCATCCCTTCGTAAGTTTTACGGACGACATCAGGAGTTGGTTGACCGTTAAGGAATCTCCGTTTAACAGATGACAACGGATATGTTCCAATTGTCGTAACTATAATCCCGTCCTCTTTCCTCCGAATTTGACCTACCGAATTAGACTTATCACCTGGTTTGTACTAACATGAGCTACACGATGGGTTCCACATGTAGAGCAGGATCTGCTTTCCCGTCCGGCGCACCTGGAATCACCCCAAGTTTTTGGTGGGGATCGTGTTGCGCAGTCTTCAGTTTTTTATGTTGTGTTTTGTGTACTGTTATTTGTCTGGTGGTCTATTTCTTTTTTTTACCATGGCGTTGTCAGGTTATTTTCATCTTATGAGTTGGAATGTCCCTTTGGTATCTTTCGACGGTCTTAAAGTATATAATAAATTCCATATGGGTAAAATATATCGAAATGCTAAGGTTTTCTACGCCAAGACAAAGATTGCCCTTGTCAGATTTGGTATATATTATTTTCGAAATTTGTGGTTTTCAATGTTTTTCAGCTTCCGTATTGATTAAGCATTTTGACTGCTATGATTCTAGCTTCACCGGGAAACCTTGTGAAAACAAGATTGTTTATTCATAAAGTTCGATGTTTTAAATATTGTGAAATGTGTAACGTCAGTTGGTAGGTTTCGTAAAATACGTCTTTTTAAATTTTTATTGGGCTTTATTTGTATAGAATTTCCTTTCTTCCCAATAATTTATCTCTCACTTTTGTTCCTTGTAATGATAAATGCACGCAAAAATTTCTGAATTAACAGTAAATTATAATGAAATCTGTTTAAAGGTAGAACTGTCTAAAACTGTTCAAGGGTCAAACTTTACAAATCTGTTCAAAAGTTGAACTGTCAGATAGTTATCAAAGGTACCATGCTTATAATTTAATACGCCAGACGCGCGTTTCGTCTACATAAGACTCATCAGTGACGCTCAGATCAAAATAGTTATAAAGCCAAACAAGTACAAAGTTGAAGAGCATTGAGGACCCAAAATTCCCAAAAATGGTGCCAAATACGGCTAAGGTAATCTGTGCATGGGATAAGAAAATCCTTAGTATTTCGAAAAATTCATACTTTTGTAAACAGGAAATTTATGAAAATGACCATATAATTGATATTCATGTCAACACCGAAGTGCAGATCTGTTCTAGGACAAATCTGCCAGAATCTTTTATAAAGTGTATGTGTCTAATTAAGGCAATAGTAGTTTGCCGAAGTTCAAATCTCGTAAAAAGATTAGGTAGCTTAAGAGACAAATCAACGTAAAAACAGAAACTGAGGTAATCGTATGAAATTCAAAAGAAGCGAGATAGGATGCGTCGACAGGATGATAAACGTCTACATCTATGCATGCATCATTTACCATGCAAATTCACACTCAGCAAGAATATCACAGTCGGGAATATGAATCAATCGGTAAAATTCCAGATCAGATGGTTATACTGGTATCTAAAGATCTAGGACCCCGAAAACATGTTGCTGGTGAGTTGAGACATCGACACATCGCATCGGTCAACCAATTCGTGATGGTGACTGTAAAACTTATGACGTGTCGATTTCAGTCGTCCTCCCTTCTTACATTTGTTGGAGCACTTTGTGTGTAAGGAGCACACACCTGTTATATGAAAATTCCGTACAAATGCCGTACAGTGCAAACATGCATGAGGTTAAAGTATTATTTAACTGAAATAACTGTTCTAAGGTAGAACAAATTCTGTTTAACAATTTTCTAAATGATTGAGGAGAACTGTTCTCCTCACAAATAATGACACATTTCAAGAGGTTAGAACTGATTCCAATTTTAGTAATAAAAAAAAGGGTTCACAAACTGCAGCCGAAAGACTTTTGGTTAAGTTTATGAGTGAAAGGCGGAGTTTTCACAATTCTAATCCTGGTATCTATGAAGAGTTTATTTTCACAATTTATACAATCCATAAAAAATAACCTTTACTGCACTTACAAGTTCAATACACCGTACTAAAAATATATCAAGATAAAAATCTCATCAGGTCTTGCAGAAAAACTTCGTATGTGTAGGGATCGTCGTTATTTTTGTCTAATTCTACCTAGAAATATACATTTATTGTGAAAAGCTGTGCGCTCTAATAAAACAATTTCAATAATATCTGTATAGAAATTTTAAAGATATGGCAGAATTTCGATTAGCGGCAGTTGAATATATAGTAGAAATGCGTTTTTTTAAGCACGCGGATATTTGAATTGTGGAGAGATTTTTGTATTTTTTTCCATTTCTTCATATTATGGTTATCACTATTATATAACAGTAGATAGGTTAATGAAGCATACAGTGAAAGCTTTGAATTAGGATCCAAATTACGGAATGAGAGACAATAGGTACTGCAGTCGAAAAGTTCTAATAAAAACTGTAGTTAAATGCCCGACGTTAACACATGAGCAAAATATAACAAACATATAACAAATACAGGGCATATACAGAAAATATAAGAATTCTTATCAAAACCATTGAAGGGGACAAATATAATAAACTTACATATTTAGGGAAATAAAACAATTGTAACAATAAAAACTAACGGTAGACAGCTCTCTCACAAATGTGCCAGTATTTTTTCCAAAATGGTTATTGGTCCTATGTTTCACAGTGGAGACAATTTAATATTTATCTCATTAGTTTTTACAACAACTAGGTCGATGCCAATGGTGATAGACATTTCGTCCTCGAGGTTATTACCAAACGAGTAGTCATTGATATCATTGTTACATATAAAAATATAAATATGTGGTATGATTGTCAATGTCACAACTGTCCACCAGAAACGATGGAAATGAAAGCAGCAATAGATCACCAGACGGCATTCATCAACGAGCAATACCCATACCACAAAGGAAGCCACAAAAATCCCCATGTCAAAATGTTAATCAATTCAAACAAGAAAATAAACAGCCCGATCTATGTGCAAAACAACAAACAAACAAAAAACATGATTTATAGCAATAAACCACAACAGAGTTGGAAATTTGTCTTATTGAACAATACAAAAACTATATTACTTATACTCGTAATATATATTATGTAATTTACTAACTGGCTTTTGACCCGGTTTGCATAATAATTGATGCCTACTATTGTTTTTTAAGTATAGATAAAAGATCATCAAGTGTAGAACTAGAAAGATGTAGATAAAGATTATATTTCTCAAATGTAACCCATAAGTATGCAACTTTTTTGTTGTGATTGCAAAAATTTTGTGGATTTTTTTTTTTCGATCAAAGTTATCAGGGCAGGTAAATTCGCTCTTTATTTGGTCTATGTAATTGGACTTTTTATTTTAATTTCAGTGATCTGTGTTTTAGGCTGATATTTTAGTGTTTGTTTTGACGAAATGCGAAGTCATCACCTCTTTCAATATGGATTTTTTTCTATAGCTTTGTCAACTGTGATTACAGTGCGGATTGAAATGACCCGAAAAAACGACCAAAAATATTGTACTGAATTTAAATTATGAGGATATTCTTGTATTTTTAAGCAAGGTACAATTTTCTCCTATTGAATTTAAAGCAGCATTTATATGTTTTTTGTCCAGTGAAATATATTACATGCATATCAAGGTCTTCCCACTATTCAGTGAAAAGACTTATATTGTTTGTTCGAATTATTATTTTCCTTCCGCCGCTTTTTATTTCTTGCGTAGTATTTTGGTTTCGAAAGATGTTGCTTAGTATATGATATCGAACAGTTATTGTGATTTTGAAACTCTGCTTTTTAAACCTTTTAACCACAATACTGTTTTTGTAAGAGTTACCTTCCAGAACACAGTGTTTCTTGTTATCGCTACTTCTTCGCAACCGTAAAAGAAACCGACAAATTTATTTTTCCAAATTGCTCCTCAGCATGTTATAAAAGATTTTGACTAAAGTGATACGGAGACTCTTTATGATTCTATATGAGAGTAATTTCTCTTGTTTTTTTTATTTAAATGATATGTATTTGTAACTGGCAAACTATAAGTGATACATACCTAGGGTGTTTTGATTTGAGATCCTTGGTCCACTAAAAAGAAAATGAGGACAAGATCACAGTTTATTTTCTGAATTTTGACTTTTCCTTATTATCGCTTCTCCTGAGAAACCGTATAAGATATCGACAAGATATATTTACTTAATTATTAGTTGTGACATGACAGAACGGTTCAAAGCATACATTGACATTAAATGGGTGGTTTCTTCCCTCTAA